TGCTAGGCCAAGACTATGAATTGCAGTATAAACTATAGTGCTGAAGAGTTTTATCTTGTCTTTCCATGTAAAAATCTGAGGAAAGGCAAATGAACTAGTTGGGAATGTAGTGTTAGAAAAAAACTTTGATAGTGGAAAGCCAAGAGAAGTGAGCAGTGTAGGAGAATGTGGACTKCTTAGAATGGTTGTTTTAGGTTTCTGTGCAACGGCTTGATTTCATCCAAATCTGTGAGTAGCTGATGACTATACCAGACACAACCCTTTTTGCACAAAAGAAATCTCTAAAGATTTGGAGGAATATGAGGATAAAAACTATAGTTCTTACCAGCCCACTGCACTCCCTCTGGAGCCACTCACTTACTTACTTGAAAATATACAAATCTACAGTGGAGCCTATAAATGTAAAATTATATGCTTCTRCAAGGCTGGATCAGTTCATGCTGTCTGGAAACCTGCAGGAGGGTTCAGTAAAGTTGTACACAAAAAAGTGGAGAATTCAACAGAAGACTTTGTCTCAACTTTAACCCTGAAATGTGTGGAACTGTGGATAGACAGACGTGCAGTAGCACAGACTGCAAGAAAAATAAAAATAAAAATAAAAATAAAAATAAAAATAAAAATAAAAATAAAAAAAATAAAAATAAAAATAAAAATAAAAATAAAAATAAAAATAAAAATAAAAATAAAAATAAAAATAAAAATAAAAATAAAAATAAAAATAAAAATAAAAATAAAAATAAAAATAAAAATAAAAATAAAAATAAAAATAAAAATAAAAATAAAAATAAAAATATAAAAATAAAAATAAAAATAAAAATAAAAATAAAAATATAAAAATAAAAATAAAAATAAAAATAAAAATAAAAATAAAAATAAAAATAAAAATAAAAATAAAGACAAAGTTCACTTGGCCAAGAAAGGTTGATGAAATTTTTGTGTAAGGTATTATAATACCTCAGGAAATGTATGCAATGTTACTGATATTGAGCAGGTAATGCTAGAATTTCCAGTCACATATCTACTCTAAAAGGGACTGAAGATCTGAAGAACTGAACTTGATTATACTGGCAAAGAATTTGATATTGTCTGCCCTGTGCATCCAAATTACTCACAATATCAGAGGCACTGACACAAAAGACTGTTCATTTTCATCTTAGCTGCTTTGCTTTATCCAAGGTTATGAATTTCTTTGAATACTGTAACAGTACGTAACAAGAAAGGAGGAAAGGAAGCATAACTTTCTGCATATTAGAGATTAGCAGGTAATATGCAGTACAAGCAGCACGATTTTGTGAGAGAGAAAGAGACGGAGATTTCGTGTTTATCTTCTGCTTTACTTTTATTTCTCAAAACCTATCTATCACCTGTGCTCAAGTTATAAAACTKCTCTTCTTAATGACTTAACAGACAAGAAAAAAAAATCCACTCCCACGCACATCATCTGTGGTAAGAAGCCTGCAAAACTTTTGTCACTGTATTTCAGTATATAAAGAAGAAATTATATCCTATTGTTATTATGAATATTGCATTCTATATTAAAAATGGATTTTCAGTATTGCAAAATATACACTGTAGTAGTTCCAATAACATAGTCTGAATACTGAAAATCTATCSCTGTTATCCTGGAACAGCCAAACCTCACTAATTTATACTAAATATTAGAGGACTCAAGTAATTGAATATATGAACAAATGAATTAACAAAGCAAGGTAATACATAACAAAAAAAGTTTATTTGACAAGAACGGTTTAATATCTTATGTAATGATTTATTATCATCAAGAGTCTACTACATTTTTTTGGGCAGGGTGAGAGGAGTGAGAACAGTTGCATACCTCCTCAGTTCCTAAAAGGATGCCCTATTCTAGCATGATCTGCTAGAATCATAAGAGCACATCTAACTCCTAAAATACRGAGTAAAACTTATCATGGTAATATCATGATTTTTTTTTATGTGTCTCTAGTCTAACCTTGCTCCCCTAGGAATGYCCCTGCTTTTACCAGCTGGACAGTGAGGGATCTAGTGGAGGACATCACAGCTACCATGTGGCAGCAGGCATCTGGGCTATTTTTCGGATGGATTAATTATTGGAAATACATCTCCCAGAGAGACTTTAACATAGAAGAAAGTCTTGGAGAAAATTACTTCTATGTAAAGTAATTAATTATCCAAAGTGTATATTAGTAAAATTCAGTTTTAATGCTTCTTCCCAATGATTGCTAATCTGGCATAATAGTGGAACATCAAAATAGAGACTGTGTGTATTAAAGTAAAATGGCAGAGTTGGTAAAGATACACGGTTAAACTCCTAGCTTGCAAGTACCTCATATGCATAGCAGGGAGCATGCCAAGTCCTGCTGGTACTTCTGTCACCAAGTTTCTAATATAAAATTGTGTTTATTTACAGCTCAGGGAAGGGAAGAGGGACTGAGGTGTGGATCCGGCATGTGCAGGCAGGTGAAGCTGGGAGTAGTCGGGCAGGGGAGATGCTGGAGGTGTCCCTGACATGGGCAGAGCCTGCCCGCAGTATCTCACTCTAATGCCTGTCACTGCCAAGCCATTGATTGTTTTCTGCCTCGGGCCCCACAGGATGGTGTAGGCAGGAGATGGCATCACGCTTGGCTATGTGGAAAGAGAAACAGCAGTGCTGACACATGCCAGCATCAGCTGGCACGAACCAGACGTGGTCAGGACTAGCTAGCACCACTTGCAACATTTGCAATCAGGATAAACTGCCACCAGTGTCTTTATGGAAGGAGATCTGAGGGGAGCATGCAGCACAGCTGCATTGGCACATGAGTGGCCCCTCACCTGGCCTTTACCTCACCAGTCTGTTACCTCACCAGAGGGCCCCTCACCAGTACATCTGCTGGCAACTCAGGAAGCAGGTTCCTCTCTGCAGTGGGGCTTCCCAGGGCTGCTATGGTCTGAGCAGAGAATAGAAGMAGATATCCAAGTCTAAACTCTGGTCAGGAAAAGGTGATCCTCCTTCAGGATTTTTTTTTAATTTCTTCTGCTTAATCCTTTTATTTTCTACATATCTCTTGCGCTGGTGACACAAACAAGTGTTTCAAAAGTATGATGCACCTAATCTGAAAGACCTGAGAACAGAAGATGCAGACAAGTGAAGTGATGGGGGAAAAAGGGTAGAGTGCTGAGGAGAAATGTTGCTAARTGAGACTGGGAGGAGGAGCTGGGTCAAGTTGACTGGAGATGAAAGGACAGCGGGGAAAGAAAGGAAGGAGAAGAGCTGACAAGAGGCTGTTAACAGAGAGCCAAGCAAAGGCAAAAGGAGTTTTTTTGGTGAAGAAAGACTCATTTCTCCCTAAGTTGGTATTGAAAGGGAAGAGCATTAGTATTGTCCAGGTGTTTGTTAATCTGTGTGTGTGCTTAGAGGGCTTTAAGGGGTCTGGCAGTTGCTCAGGAAGCAGCTTTGCTCACAGTCCTAAGCTTTTTCTTCTCCCTCTGCTGATGCAGTTCTCTTTCTTACCCTTAGGCTCTCCAAAAGACAACACAAGCAGACAGAATGATTGCTTGGCAAATCAGAAGTATCTCCTACAAATACAAACAGTGAACAAGTGCTGTGCACCTCTGCACAGGGTTACTTTAGTTTTGTGTTTACGTAAAAGTCTGGTCCAAGTGTAGCTCCTGAACAGAATAACCTTTGTAAAGAGTCTAACAGTGGTTGGAAGTGAATGAAGGTAGGGTAGGAATAGGGAGTACGTAACCTTTCAAGTCTGGAACTGGAGAATACGAGGCTAAAACTTAGGAATGCGAGGCTGGAAGCCCAAGCACAGCAACAGACTGCCAAGGTGCAAGCTCTTCAGAAAGAGGTGCACAGCTCGACCTCTGTAAGATCTTCCTAACTGTTCTTTTCCATGAGCTCCCGAGCCTCGTTGTGTGTGTGTGTGGGGACAGTTAAGAGATTTCCCTTGGGAGCTGATGGAGAGCATTGCTGGCAGTGTGCAGGCCATCGGCTGCTCTTCGTCCATTCCGAGGCTTTCTGGGTTTGAGATGTTTCACAGGATCTA